CTGCCAGCTTGATCACCCCCTAACCACTCCCCTGCCAGCCTGATCTATGCCTAACTGCTCCCCTGCCAGCCTGATCACTCCCACCTGCCTTCCCCTGCTGACCCAATCACCCCCAACTGCCCTTCCCTGCCAGCCTGGTCGCCCCTAACTGCCCTCCCCTGCCAGTCATCTTGTGGTGGCCATCTTGTGTCCACATGGGGATGGCCATGTTGTAGGAGGGCATGACAGTCAATTTGCATATTACCTCTTTGTTATATAGGATAATGTAAGTATACATGGAATAGACATGTACTAGAAAAATATCTACTATTTATGAACCACTACTATATGCTAGATTCTTTACTTATATTGATTATATCATTTAAATTGAAATTATCCTATAAAATATGTTTTATGATCACCATTTGTCTCAATGGTATTTAAAAAATATTAGGTAATTATTCCAAGGACACTGAGCTGGTTAGTAACAGAGCTAGGAATTTGAACCTAGGTTTGGCTGACTCTGAAGCTTATATCTTTTCCAAACAATCTGCTTTTCAAAGTCATGACAACTCCTGGGAATGGCACTTAGTTGTACTATACCATCCATATTCAATGAACTATTTGCTGAACTTCCAGGCACAGTGATAAATGATGTGAAATCTAGAGATTAAAGTTGAGGTGTTCCTGCCCACATGGAACCCATAGGCTGGTGGGAAAGTCTAAAGAGAATATTAATGAATATGAACATATTGGGCATTGACATCCATCAAGGTCAAACTCTGCAAAACTCTATCAGTGAATTCTGCCTTTAAGTTAGAGTGATCAAACCAGTGCTGAGGTGAAATGCCAGCTGGAACCTCATCAAATAGTGGTAACTCTCAAAACATAGTTGCTTGGGGGCACAAGGAAATAGGAGAAACTGTCCAAGAACTTCACCAAATAGGCATTGTATACCCTTCCCATAGTGCTTTCAATAGCTTAGCATGGCTGGTAGACAAGCCATGTAGCTCATGGTAGATGACCATGGACTATTGGGAATTCTATGCAGTGTGTCCATCATTGCCACCATCTTGGGTACCCTGGTCACAGTACCGTGCTGTACCGGGCTTAGCATATGCCCCTGGGAGGGGCCACATGGAGCTTTCAAGTGCTTCCCCAAGGCCAGCTGCACAACCCTGCAATGTCTGGAGATCTGTCCCTGTTCTCCTTCCCCCATGTCAGCAGAATGTCTCATTACATGGATGATGTGGAGATGTGCCCCTGGCTCTACAGCAGCAGTTCTCAACCTGTGGGTCACGATCCACAGGTTGAGAACCCACTAGCAGGGTCGCCTAAGACCATCAGAAATAATAGATATTTACATTATGATTCATTAACAGTAGCAAAATTACAGTTACGAAGTAGCAACAAAAATAATTTTATGACTGAGGGTCACCACAACACGAGGAACTGTATTAAAGGGTTGCAGCATTAGAAAGGTTGAGAACAACTGCCCTAGAGCAGTGGTCAGCAAAATGCGGCTCACAAGCCACATGTGGCACTTTGGCCCCTTGAGTATGCCTCTTCCACAAAATACCACAGCTAGGGTGAGTCTATTTTGAGGAAGTGGTATTAGAAGGAGTTTAAGTTTAAAAAATTTGGAAATTTCAATCGTCGTACTGTTGCTATTTGGCTCTGTTGACTAATGACTGTGCCGACCACTGCCCTAGAGCAACAGCTCCTACGAGAGGGCACAGCACTCCTCTAGGTAGAACCTCTCACGAAGGAGCTGCATATCACGGTAAGAACTTCCCTTCCCATCACAGGGTGGGCTGAGACTCACCTCTGCCAGGTTCAGGCTCCCACTTGGATGAAATGGATGCCTATTTGCAGCAGAGCAGCACCGTGCCCACCAGCACGCATGCACTCCTATGTTGGGAACAAAAAACCTCTGTAAACAGAACCAAGCCAATTGTGCCAGGGGATATAGGATGGATATCATGGAACTGTGCAGTCAGTCTGTCGCATTAAAGGGTAGAGACCAGTTTGGTATTGGCAGACCGGCTGGACTGCCAAGGTAGTTTTTGGGTAGTGCCAACTGGGACCTAATATTTGTGTGGCACAGATCTTTCATTTAGGTTGTTGAGTTGCTGCACCCTGGATTTTCCCCGGGTATAGGAGGGAGCCTGTCCCATATTAACAAAAGTTGCCCACTGCCCTCTTCTCAGGGCTGGAGGGGCACGTTCTGTTTTCCAACGGTATGATTGATTATCTGCTACCGTCCATTGGCCTGGGAGACCTTATAGCATACAAAGAAGCCCTTAGTACATTCACCTAACAAGCCTTAAATGATAGCGAGTAAGCCTGTCTTTGCTGAACACTGAAATGTCTCTAATGAGAAAAGCTGTCCTCCAAAATAGAATGACCTTGGAGGTTATTACTGCCTCACAAGGCGGCACCTGTGCCATTATCTAAGCAGAATGCTGTGCGTTTATACTTGATGACTCAGCTAATGTATCATCTTTATTAAAGTACATGTAGATACAAGTGAACACACCCTGAGTGATTCAACCCCCAGCCGAAGGAATTTAATAAATCAGTGGTACGGATGATGGGGCTTTGATGGAAAAATTGTTACTTACTTTGGGAAGCATTCTCTTAATCTGTGTTTTCTCTTGCATGTGCCTACATTGTTGCTATGGTTTCTGCCTGTAGTGCAGCCAGATAGCTGCCAATGAGCCACTTCCATGCTGGTGAAACCCTTTGCTCAGGGCACATTGTGGAAAGGGGCAGGAGAGTGCATGTAAGATTGTAAGAGCCAGTCATGAGGAGTCTTGGAGGAGGTCATCAAGAGGACATGACCCTTGAGCAGGACCTGAGCAACCAAAGCCTCCTCCCCACCTCCCCTGTCCATGGAATGTATGTTCTACTAGGCTTCCCCATATCAGAAGCTGTCTCAAGGACAGTCCTGACCCAGTAAGGAGGTTGTTGAGACCCTTTGAAGGATATACATAAACTGTTAAGGCCTCTACCTAAACTTTTAAAATTTTGGTGGGCAGGTGCAGAGATCTACTCCTATGGTGGCTGCCCAGGACAAAGCCTTGTAAGTTCCCTTGCTTGTTAACACAGCCCTCTGCCAATCTGGAGTGGCCTGCTTCTTTTCCCCCTGTCTCTTTGACCTCCCTGTACAGGACCAGTTTCAGATTTCACCAGGGAATTTCCAAGGTTTTGAAGCAACATGCGCATACTGCTCGTGTTCTTGATTTGAGCTTCTCTAGATGAGATTTAGTCTTTGTTTACATGTCTAGGGGCTCTGTGTTTCCATTGTCTGTGAAATTACTGTTCCTATTTTTGTTCATTGTTTTCTTGGGTTACCTATCACTTTATATATTCAAATCTTTGCCCTATTTTCCTTTTGGGGTGCTCACCTTCTTGTTGGTAGTTAGTAGAAATTATTTATTCTTATACTTTTATGAAGCACTGTAAATGTCTTCTAAAATTCTAAATGTCTTTGAAAAATTTCTTTGAAATATCTTTGGATAAATATAAATTTCTTATTTTAATGTAGTTGGCTTATGGTGTATTGTAATATAGAATCCCATATCTGAAACCTTTATATTCATGTTGACCAATGTCACCCCAATCAATTTAATAATAAATATTTTTTAAATAATGTAGTTGAATTTATTCTTTCTTTTATCGCTTCTGTCTTTAATATTTTATTTAGTATTGTTATTATAATTTTCTGGATGCAAGGTTTACAGAACATCATTTGTTAATTTATCCATATGCTTATTATGGTTTTTTTTGTCAAAAGAGTATTTAGAGCAACTTTATAATATAACTTAATATAAATTAAATTACATATTTTCCTTATTCTAGATTATAGCCCCAATGATTTGCAATAAAACTTCTTAATCTCTTTAAAAATTCCAAGTTAAAGAGCCATTCTGGGCATCTATAAATATGAGTACTTGTATAAGTAATATTTTATTTTATTTTACAGTTAGTCTAGTGTCCAAATAGGAAAAAAAAAAAACTGTGAGCACCAGTCTTACAGAGCTTTAATTTGAGTCATAATTCTGAGGATGCTACAAACTACTTCAGCTAAAATCTATGTAACTGACCTTTATGTTCTAAAAGAATCCATTTGTGAAGCCAAAAGCTGGTCTGGTGTAAATGTGCCACCAGGATCCATTTCAGAACACTGCTCCTTCTTGCCAAGGGCAGCGGCTATCACCAAAGTAACCAGAGAATGCCGGTGTCCTCACTCTCAAAAAGACCGCTTGTTTTGCAACATTAAATTTCAGCCCTTTCTGTCCCTTTTATTCTTTTAATGATGAAAATCTACTTTGTTCACCATTATAAGAAAAGATGACTACCTTTTTATGAGAAGTTTTGATAGAAAAAAAAAAGTCTTAAGATTTGCCTAGGAAATAACAATTTCCTCTTATAGCAAGTTTTATTTTCGAAGAAGTTGAGAAAATGAATACATAGTCTCCAAGTTTCCCCACATTGGAGAATGCCCTGGAGCTTTGTGGCTTAAGTTCAAACTCCAGATGTCAGAGTCTCTTCTTTATTTACCCATTTAATTTAGCCGGTATACTTAGCGGTCAGTATTTCTCACCTTTCTAAGAGTGCACTCACTTACACTGCCCCCAATATATGTAATTAGGATAAAACCCTAGAATGAAAGGGATTTAAAACGAGGCAGGCAAACATGTACAGAGTGGGATGGAGCCAGATTTGCTTTGAATAGGATCAGTTTTGTTTTATTTCACACAAAAGTTCCAAATACAGCCCTTTTGACCTGCATACTCCATCCCTAAATGGCAAAGTAAACATTCATGAAAATTTAATGGTGAGGAAATTAGTACCTTCTTATGTTTCAGACTGTGAAATGGCACCAGGGAGCGCCTTCAGCGACAGGCAGACGTGTGTGGATGTGCTGGACCACACCTGTAACATTTGTCTCTTCAACCTGCCATCCTTCTCCAGGTCAGCCGGGGGCTGAGGCGCTCTGACAGGACACCCCCAGGATGCCGCCCAAGAAAGGTATTTCAAATAAAGACCTGTTGTAGAATATCCTACCTTTCTTAGAGATTGGACACTGAGAAGACTTTTCACAATTTTTGTTCCCTCTTTGGGGCTTTTCCTTGTGTGTGTGTGTGTGTGTGTGTGTGTGTGTGTGTGTGTGTGTGTGTGTGTGTGTGTGATTGTGTGTGAGTTTCTTAAGAAATTGGGAAGGTTTTAATATTTCTTCAACTTCTTTTCCTTAATGGACATATGGTTTCACCAAAATACACTGAGATTCCAGTGCAGCAACTCAAATTTGGGGTTCAGTCCATAACAGTGACCTACCCTGAGATTGGTGTGTGGGACAGCTTGGTGAAGGAGACCTGTTCTGCTCTTGTTTGTGGATTAAATACAGTCTGGATTAAGTAAAGTTGAAAAGGAGAGGAAAGAGGATTAAGGCAGAGCAAGTGAAGAGAAGAGACATAAAAACCTATTTTTTGCTCTTTATTCTCTTTTCTTACCTTCTTTTGATTAAGTATTTTTAAATTCCATCCTCCACTATTGGTATGTTAGGATATATGTTTGTTGTTGTTATTCCATCTTTAACTTATTGAACTCAACATCCAAGTAATGATACACTACTTTACATATATTTTAAGAATGTTACAATAGTATAATTTTTTCTCCCTCCCGTCCTTTGTGTTATTGCTCTTACATATTTTAATCCCTCATATATTTTAAAATCTACCATTTATCATTATTTTTGCTTTAAATATTCATATATCTTTAAAATAATTTTAAAATAAAGGTAAAAAGGCTTTTTTTTAAATTTACCAATATATTACCTTTTCCAGTGTTTTTTCTTCATATTTTAGATCCAAATTTCTATCTGGTATCATTTTTCTTCTGCCTGAATAACTTCCTTTAATATTTCTAGTAATACAGGTTTGCTGGCAATGAATTTACTCAAATTTTGTATGTTTGAGAGAGTCTTTACCTTAATTTTGAAAGACTTTTTTGATGGAAATACACACACACACACACACACACACACGTATTTTTGATGGAAATAGAAATACACACACACACACACACATATATATTTCCTTTCAGCGCTTTAGAGGTTTCTCTTTTTATAGTTGCTGATGAAAAGTTTGATCAGTCTTTGTGTCACTTTGCTCTGGCTGCTTTTAAGGTATTCTCAGAATTACTGTGTGTTTGTTTGTCTTTTTAGCAATTTGTTTATGCTGTGTCTCGACATAGTTTTATTCTTCTCTTTTCTCTTTAGAATTTGCAGTGCTTCCTAGATCTTGGGCTTATAGTTGCTATCAAATGTTAAACAATTTTGGCCATAATTTTCTCATTTTTTTCTGATTTCTTCTCTGGGACTCCAATTACATATATTTCAGACTTTTTTATATCATCCCACAGGTCACAGATGTGCTTTCATTTTTTTAAAAAGATCTTGTTTTCCCTCTGTTTTGATTTGGACTATACCTGTGTCTTTGAGTTTGGTGCTCTTTTCTTCATCAAAGTCTAATTTATTGTTCACCCCATCTGGTATATTTCTCATTTCAGACGCTGTATTTTTCATTTCTAGGATTTGAATTACATTTTTAAAATATATACTTTTCTTATGATGTTCTTAAGCATATGGAATGTATTTATAATAGCTGTTTATTGTTAATTCCATCATCTGTCATTTCTGTATTTGTTTCTATTGATTCATTGAATTGCTCTCCTGGTTGTGAGGCATTATTTTTCCTTACCTGGTAAATTTTTTTATTCATTATTGGTAATGTTGAATTTTACATTTTTGGGTTCTGGATTATTTTTGTCTTTTTAAATACATTGTTGGATAATTTTCTGGGATGCAGTTCAGTTATTTTTAATTAGCTGGATGTTTTTGAGTGTTGCTTTTAAACTTTGTTAAGGTGAGTTCAGCACAGGGCTAATTTGGCCTAGGCAGTAACCTTCTAAGGACTCTAACCAATGCTCCATGGATAAGGAGGTCTCTCCTCTCTGACTGGTGGCAAACTGGAACTCCTGACTCTTGTGAGCTCCAGAAACTCTCCTGCACACTCCTCTCTCATGGTTCTTTCCTTGGCTGTGTAGTCACCACATATGTAGGCACATGTCAGTACTCAGCCAAAGGGTTTGTCTGTAGATCTCCAAGGCTTTTTTCTTGGTAGCTCCTTTCTTTTTGGTTATTTCACAACACAAATTATGCATTCGACTCCCTAAAACCAGAACAGTGTCTCCTCATCTCAGTGAGACCTCAGGCCTCCATTTGGATTCCCTTTCCCTGTGTTACAACCTAGAAACTCTCAGGAAAAACTGAGCAGGCAATGTCAGTGCAAATTGCATTTGCTTTTCTTTCAGAGATCACTGTCTTGTGCTATGTATTGCACAATGTCTGAAAAGAGACATTAAACGTACTTTATCTGACTTTTTAGTTGCTTAAAGTAAGAGAGTTAATGTACTTCTAGTTACTTCACTATGGCTAGAAGCTAAATTCCAATATTATGTTTATAGTATGCTTGGGCTTAATTATTTGATTCTGTTTATTCATCATAGCTTTTAGGTAATGTTATCAAGTAAATGAGAATACCTACAAACATATTTTTATACTTTGTATTTTATTGATTTTTTTACAGAGAGGAAGGGAGAGAGATAGAGAGCTAGAAACATCGATGAGGGAGAAACATCGACCAGCTGCCTCTTGCACACCCCCTATCGGGGATGTGCCCGCAACCAACGTACATGCCCTTGACCGTAATTGAACCTGGTACCTTTCAGTCCGCAGACCAACGCTCTACCACTGAGCCAAACCGGTTTCGGCAACATTTTTATACTTTGGAGTAGTTCTCACAGACCTGGCTTTTAGGCAGTGATACAGATTTTTAGTATCTGGATTCCGCATGCCAATATTCATATATATTGAGTTTATCCGTGTGGAATATTTAATGGGAAAAGAAAAATGAATTCTTCTTCCTCTTCTGGTTGTTGTATGAGGAAAATCAATTTCCATCAATGTAGAGATTCATATTTACCAGTACTGTTATTAAATTATCCTCTTATCTCCCTGGGTTTGAACAAGCTATGTACCTTTTATGCATTTAACACAATACTTATTGAATACAACATAAAGTATAACAAATACTCCTTGACTTGAAAAAGCTCATAAGCTATTTGGGGAAATGAGACAAAATACATAGAAAATGTTAAAAAGTAGTATAAGACCATAATGAGAAGGATGGTTGAGTGCAGGATATGAAGTGTGAATTGAATTGTAGAGGCAATATACACTATGTACTTTTTTTCATTTCCAACTAGTTAATTTTTTTCTATGGCTCTCTAGTGAACATTCTTCAATTTATCTAGATCATTCCTTAGATGTAGAGCTGAAACATTCAGTGGATATAAATCTGAACAGCTATGAGTATGTTTGGATGATTACATCAACTTTCTGACTGCTATACTTCTGTTTTTGCATTACAAACCTGTTCTTGCTCTTATCACTACACCATGTCATTATCTCTTGGCAGAGTGGAAAGTGGGACAAATGCTGGGATCATGCAGACCCAGGTTTGAATCCTTTCTTCACTTCTTGCAGGCATTAGATCTTGAATGGGTATGCTAAGGGCAATTTGGTTAAAGATAACATATTGTAGCTTAGCGAGCCTAAAGCTAAAATACAGCTAGAGGTGGCATCCACTCATAGAATCCAAAAGCAAGAATGAAGTTGAATCTCAAGTTCAGCTAGACCTGGAGACTAAAGCACTATAGCAAACCCAGAAAACTGTCTTTGTTTCTTACTTCTATAAATCTGCTTCATTCTTTCTGGCTCTCTGTGACTTTCTCTCTTTTATAAACAGGTTAAGGAGAAGCTAAGAGTGGCTAAAGCTTTCATTTCTCAGCTCTGTGGATGAATAAACGTGTGTGTGTGTGTGTGTGTGTGTGTGTGTTTTGTTTTTAATCAGGGCACAGTTCATAGAAAATATAGAGAAGCTGGTAGAAAAGTTCCCATAAAAGCAAATTAATTGGGATTAGAAAGTGATAGTTGTTCATTAGAACTAATAATTCCATCTCTTTTAGACTAACTTACTTATATGCACAAAATCCTCCACAAATTCGAATTCTCTTCTCCCTTTCTTCCTCTTTGTTATAGATAATGTTTTTGCTAAGTTATATAATATGCATTACCTGAAAATAGGAATATGTGTTGATTTGAAATATTTTTGAATTATTGAAAACAGCTTATATTTTCATAACTTATCCATACATTCCTCTTGAACCAAGTAGATGCAGTGGAAAGAAACAGGGATTGGGTGATTTTGGTAATTGTTCACCCAAGAAGGTTGTTTTCAGGGATGAGGATTGTACAGCTACAGAAGCTGCCCGTGGGGTGAACTATTGGGGCAGTACCTAAGGGAGTTTAGCAAAAGACCCTCAGTGGGATGCATTAACCAAGTTAAAAACCCAAAGTGTGAGAGTGCAAAAGAGATGGCTCTGAAGAATGTACAAAACTTTCCCATGAGATGAACCACAATAAGGATGTTTCAGTTAGGTCTGATGGAGCAGTCCAGATTTGCCAATAGGGAGAAAATATGGGAATGACTTATCTTGTCCAAATCTGGATCTCTTTTACTAGATGACATTTGTCCTGCCTCTTTTGGAAACTCTGTATGTGTCAGAGCTTATCTTTCATGTTTTGATGCTTAATAGCACTCAAAGGTTTTGTTTTAATGACTTGAAAGAAAATAAGCTATATATTCCACAATTGGCTACTTTTAAAATAAGGAAACATAAAAAATTCTAATAATAGATCATAGCTAGCAAAATATTTTTAATCAGGATTCTTCTAGAAATTTCAGGTCATATCGTGTCACTGATTATACTGGAAGATGTGGGAAAGCAGGGATGTGGCTAATTTTTAATACCAAATATCCCCACAAAAAGGATGGACTTCGGTTTTATAGGACACCTTCTGAGACCTGCTTTTTGGTGGATATAAGAAGACGCAGTTCTAGTCTAGG